ATATATATATAACACTGTGTAATGGTGGGCGCGAGTACAGTTACTGAATTCTTATTATTTTTTAAATGATACATGTTGCTTTGTTCTCTTCTGTTTGTTTGTGAGTTTTTCTTCCTTTGTTTACTCGTGCTCATTTTACTATTCTTTCGGCTGTTAAATAAGCACGTAAATGAGGTTTACTTTATTATTATTATTCACGTGGTAGCGTAGTTGATTGAGGCACTGTGCTACAAGCCGGATGGTCGCGGATTCCATTCCCGATGAGATCATTGGATTTTTCAACTGACCTAATCCTGTCAACCGCACTATGGTCCTGTGGTCGACTCAGCCACTAACGTAAACTAGTATTAGGAATTTTCCTGGCGGGAGGATTAAAGCGTGGCCGGAGCGTAAGGCTGAAAACCTGACGGCCATCTGTGAGCCGATTGTTTAGTAAATGTGGGAGCGTTGTCGTCTCACAACCTTATGGACCTCCACAGCCTGTTACAAGAGTAGCTTCATTTTCTTTTCTTTTATTTTATTATTATTATTATTATTATTATTATTATTATTATTATTATTTACGTATTATTGTAATTGGCTTTGCGGCTGTTGACTCGGCACATAAATAATAATAAAGAATTGAATTGAATTATTATAATTTGGACGTTGAGCTACAACATAAATAAGTAAAAATTAATTGGGTTATTGTTATTATTATTAACTTCTATGTGTATATGTACATGTATTGTCCTTTTTCGCCACATAATTGCATAACCATTGGAAATGTAAATATTTAATTTCTCTCGCCTTTTAAAGCTAACTTTAATTTTTCTTTGGATTATTATTAATTTATTTTCATTACATAGACTCAAATTTTGTATTTTGTTCTTCAGTTATTTTTGTGTATTTCTACATGCTCGTGCTAATTTTATAATTGGCCTCTGTGCTGTCAAATGGGCACGTAAATAAATAATAATAAATTATTATTATAATTATAGCACATACAATATTTTACAGCCTCCCTCAGTTAACGTGTTCATGTGATGGTCTAATATTAATGAAAATACTGTCCTGCTGTAATGTAAATACCACATTGCTACCGAGATATGTCTCTGAGGGTACGCTGTCCAACAAGCCAGTCTCTCTGCAAGTAAATACTCGGCATATATACAAACATTGTTTCGCTTCATGTTCTACATTAGGTGTAATCAGACTTGCTGTGCATCAGAGCTATATTTTTCCTTCAGAAGTTCAGGGTCCTTAAGCGAACGCGGTTTTTATGACACGTGTGTTTCAAGCAGCCTGATTTTTACATTATTTAATTTATGCAGTATGGGTTTACTAATGACTAATATGTTTTCCCACTAGCCGCACTAGCGGTTAAGTTGGAGGCGCGTGTGTCTACATCTGTTCTGTGTGGAGGAGAGATCCCGCAAATATGCAAGGGATGTTGCTGCTTGTCAACGCTGTACTGGGGTACAACAGTAGGCCATTTATCAACTTTACATTTGTGGATAATTAATGTTAGTATTTCTTCTTCATGTTTCAGAAATATTCTTGAGATATCTGTGGCCGAGAAATATCTACACGGGAACTATATTTTGCTGCGGAGTGATACGACGGTTTTGGGTGAGTAAAGAACCAATTGCCGGGCACGGTAACCGAGCGGTCTAAGGCGTGCACTGTCTTCGCTCGCTCGGAAGCCGGGATCGTAGGTTCGAATCCCACTCAGGGCATGGATGTTTAATTTGTGTGTGTGCGTTTTTCTGTGTTTGTGTACAGGTAGAGGCCTTGCGGCGAACTGATCACCCGCCCAAGGAGTCCTACCGAATGTGTAAGATCTAGAAAAACCGAAGTGAACGGAGAAGTTCATGGAGGTAGGCCTAGGCCCACTGGGGCTGTAGTGCCAAGGAATAAAAAGGAACCATTTATAGCAAGTCTGATGCGTTTCACTTAGAAACATAAATATAATATACACCTGTTTTATGGCTTCGTCTAGTCTTTCTGTGTACACATACGTATGTATGTGTATATTATATATATATATATATTGTTACATGGAAGATAGCCGCCGCAGAGTGCCGTTTAAAGTAGAGTAACTGTATTTCTGACACTGAGTAAGTGTGGATGAATTAGTTCAATAAATACTCGTTGAATCCGAAGGCTACGTGAAGTTTTTTGTCGCGTGACACAACACGTGACAATAAATTTATTGTAGCGTGTTGCCTATGTAACGTTGTTGTCTGTTTCCCAGGTAACCTACTTCTGAGAAGCCAGTTATCACGTGTCTTTTAGGTAACGCGACGAATAACTTCACGTAAGTCTTGGATTCAACGAAAATTTATTGAACACATTCTTTTACACAGATTAGTTCAATTATTATCACTCTCACTGCTTCTGAGGTTCCATTCACTCGCTCCAACTAACTCGGAGAATGCTAGACTCACACTCCACACACATGAGGCCTAGCACCTACGCTCATGCACTATTTCACGGCTAATGTTGTTAAAATCAGAACAGAAGTCATCACTAACTAGACAAATTCTTTGAATGGCACCAACATAAGAGCGCAATTTTTCCACTTTATCTACACTTGACGGAGATGTACACGTACGTTTCTGACTTCTGCTGGGAGTCCAGATGGGAGAGATGTCCAGGCTGTGTTGTCTGATTGGATGTGACGTAGACGGGTTCCTTATATCTATGTACGTCTAGTAACCCCATACTTTTTCGGCACTTACGCTAAGGTCGTGGTGAGGTACGTTGCTACGTTCGGTTAAGACCAACTTATGCTCCTCCGAACTTACATTGCAATTCAGAAGGAGGGTAATTGACTGGACGTGATATAAATTCTACCACTTAAAAATATATTGAAATATTTGTCTTATAGATGTACAAAATATAAACGTAAAGTTGCCGTTGTGCTTAATTAATTAAGCATCACGCCATAAAAACGTATAGGGGAGTGGAGGTATAGCTCCACCGTTCCTGACCTCGTCACTAGACGGAGGTGAGTGGTCAGCTACACACCACGGCAACTTTACCGCCAGGAAAATAGTCCCCGGTACCCATCGGATCCGTCGCCAGGCAACGATCGATGAAGCTATAGCAGAATTAGAAGACTTATTGTTTGCTTTAGTGAACTGTAGAATGTGTGAATTAGAGACAGCGCTATAGTGACTTGTAATTACGTTCTGTAAGTGATTACCAAACCAAAGCCCGTCTATAGTGACGCTCATATATCCTCCGCATGCCCTAGGCGTTCTCAGTGGTTTCTGGCTTCTGGCTTTGACGCCAAACCGCTGTATGCATTTCTCTTCTCCCCCCCTGCATACTTATGAATAAAAATCAGCCTTTAGGCGCTTATGATGTACATATTCGCAAACATGGAGGGCAAGCAAAAAATGTTTTTCATAATCACTGCTGAAAATGTATAAATTCCTCAAAATTTGGAAATAGAACTTCATGATCAAAACACTTTCTCATGCTATGTATATGACTATTCCCGGCCGGTAAAGTGGACGGGGCGTGAATCTAACCACTCACCGTCATCTAGATGCCTAGGTCAACAATGACAGAGCTGTAACTCCCTTCGCCAATGTCTTCATAGCGTGTTTCATAATTAATTAAAAAAAGGGACAAATTTACCCTACCTTTACCTACATTAAAAAGTAAGAAATATTTGTAAGTTAGCATTCTGTCTCGTTTTATCAACCTAGATTATTTATTTTGAATAAAAGAGGCTTATGATATCACCTTACTCTCTGTGTGTCCTCCATAATGTTTTGGGTTTCTATGCGGTTCGTGTCGAACCAAAGTAGAATAGACAGTTTTTCCCAGAACTTTTTTATTGCTAGTGGGGTGGGACTAAGTCCCTTGTACTGCGGCCATTTCTGGCCTATTGTACCAGCCCCAGATGAGAGGTGAGGGCGATTGTGGAGCAATTGGTGGAATGAAGATTGGCAGGGGAACCCGAAGTACTCGGAGAAATCCTGCCCCAGCGCCACTTTGTCCGCCACAAATCCCACTTGACCAGACCCGGGATCGAACCCGGGCCGCCGCGGTGGGAAGACAGCGACTAACCGCTTGAGCTATGGCGCGGCCTTCCCAGTTCTTACTGTTAATATTATATGACATCGCGCTGCTCTCTGTTTCGTCACGTGTTCTCTCATTATTTTGGCTTATGAGATCGCCTGTCTCCCGCATATCGTTGCTAGGCAACGGACCGTATGTGTGCTGTGCCCCGTAATTTTTTTCGCTTTCTATGCGGTCCATTTCATATTAAAAGAAGGTAGGCGATCTGTTCTTTCCAGAACTCCTAGTGAGCAGTCAGTCCTTTATTATTTGATAATTGAAATTTTTTTTCTATTGCGGAAACAGTGAAATCTCAGAAGCTGCTGATGTCGGTTGGTTAAATATACTGCAAGTGAAGAGAAACGTCTTTAACCTCGTGACAAGATTATGGAGACAAGTCTAAGAGTCTTCTTTGCCTTCGGCCAATTTGTCTTTGATCTTCTCTCCATCAATATTACGGTCTGAAGTAGAGAGATTTCTCTCCAGGAAAGTTTTAACTTTGAGTCATCAATTTTCCCCATTATTACTATCGCTCCATTTTGTTGCTGAGTCGTCACTGAACTGCCTAAGGCATTCAAGTCTCTCTGTCTTCCTTCCGAATAACAGCTTGACGAGTTTTAGTCCATTATCAACAGCCTCAGACAGTGAACTTTGCTGAGGTACCAACATGAAAGCAGAGTCACTATACATCGTGAAAACCAGTTTCAGATTCCTCCTGCGCATGCGTCAAACAGAGGTAAGGTTGCATGATGCGAAAGAGATTGTCAGAACCAATGAACTTAAATGAAATTCGCGACCAATGAACTGAAGAGTTGGGCGCTCACGTGATGGTCATGATCTCCTTGCTTGCTGGGTTCAACGTTGCATGAAGTGGAAAAGATGAAATGCCGGAACACACATGGGGCTCTAGGGACAAGAGTGGGCCAGAAGTTAGCTTAACACTTTCTGGCCGGTGTCATGTTTGTTTTCATTGGATGGGAAATGAAACAGCGATAGTTTATATTAAAACCTCATAGATATTGCGAAGTTTGCTTCTGGGTCTTGAAGCATGGACTTAACCCAGTTGGTCAGGCAGAGGTGACAGGTTGTTTATTGTCTGCCCCCCCCCAACGCTCCCACAATTTCATGCTATTAAATAGGAACTAAAAGTTCGTGACTGTGGTATATTAATAGATTTATTTACTTTGGCACATAACCCATTGTCCTTTTTAGCCCATTTTCTTAATTTGAAAAAAATAAGCGTATGCGATCTCTAAGCTGTCTGTGTATCTGTAAAATATCCACATTGGCTTACGAATGTCTGAACCAAACTGTATTAAACTCGATATATATATATATATATATATCATGATACCCGAGCCCAACCGAACTGTGTGCTTCATAAATTCCTGCAATCAGTCTGTATGTGTATCCCTCGCATAGTTGCTAGACAAAGGCTCCGTAAAGTATAACCCTCTTTCGTTGCTAGATAACGGCTCAGTAAACATGTTTCTGCAACAACGAATACATACAAAAATAGTAGAAATGCATACGTTTGTCTGTGGGTCTGTGTGCCTCCATGTCGTTGCTAGATAGCAACTCGCTGAGACGTCCCCTTGGCAACCAAGAATTGTTGGAGGCGTCGTTTTCTATGCGGTCCCTTTCGTATCAAAAGAAGGTAGGCGATTGGTTCTTCCCAGAACTTCTTCTTACAAACAAAATTTCGGGATCTAGACTCTGCCTTCGCCCTCAGGTGAAGTTTCGAAATATTTGTCTTAACTCTCGCAGACGATGTATGTTGTGCTTAGCTTGTATACCCTGTCTTGTGTTGGTGCTGATGTGTGGAGATTGCGCCCAACTCAATAGAGTTTTTACTTGAGGAAGCAGGCAGAATTCAGTCTCCGAAACTTTGTTTTAAAGTAAAAAGTAGGGCAATACATAATGTCCATAAAATTCGATAATTATATTTCATAATAGATTTAGTACAGAAAAGTCCCCATTGAAATCAAAGCGAAATTTAAAACATTGAAAAATTTTCTATATTTGATTTATTTATTTATTTATTATTGATTTAGTTGAATAAATTTAAACGCATAAGCTTATTTAGCTTCAAATGACAAGATGACGGTTAAGAATTAATTGGAAAGCATGTGAAAGCAGACGTTTCTGCCTTAGTTTAAGAGCATTTTTCCTGGAGAGATTGAAGAATTTCAACACAAAATCTTCAGTCAGGGTATTCAATCTCAGGGCAGGGGTTCGGACTTGGGACATCATATATTTTTTTTCCTTAGGTATAATTCTAAACTATGCCGTACATTTTTCCTCTGTTAAATTACTTACACGAAAGAACAAGACTTACAGTTCTGTGTTTTGTAACTCCCAGTTTATGAAGTTCAGTATTATCGCCACATCTACATGTTTTCGGGTTTTGAGCGTCTTGTTTTGTACTATAGAGAGACAGGTTACAAAAGATTCAGGACTCATTGAGACCTCGGTTATGCCTTGTGGTGTGTGGGGTATGCAGTTCAGTGGCCATGACACATATCAGACTGAATCGCATGTTTGATTCGAGTCTC